TGTGTGTGTGTGTGTGTGTATAATAAATAATATATATATATATATATGAGTGTGTGTGTGTGTATGTATGTATGTATATATATATATATATATATATATATTAACCCTCCCACAACGTGTACAAGAGTCCACAAAATATATTATACGCTATTTTTTCAGGAAACTTATGTATTTATATATATACCTCTGGCTGCACACATACTACTCGCTATAGTGTCGAAACTCGAGACTTGACTATTTATTTAGAGTGTTAATAATCATAGCCTTCTAAATATGACCCTGAATACTTTATTTTTATTTATAACCTTCGAAGTTCCACTCTTCCTTGCCTTACATATTCAATTACCAGCTATAACCATACTATTTAGTTGTGTTTTTTTTAAACAATATACAACAATATATATATTGATAAATATATAGTATATATTGTATATATGTATATATATATATATATATATTTATATATATATAAATATATAGAAGTCTGTCTAAATTTTAAAATATTAAAATAAAAAAAGACAGAGTGTTCAATTTTCAGAAGGCTAAAATATGCTGTGAGGTTCTTTGATATTCGTACTTATGAAATATTTTTACATATTTTGTTTTTAGCTGGAGTAATATGAAATATTATATATATACGTTACCAATAAACAACTAGTTTAATTTTAAAAATAAATACAAATTATATCTATATATTTTTATCACCGCTTTTTTTAAAATTTATACTGTAATTATATTCTTATATAAATATGTATATATTTATATATCTATAATTTTACTCTTTTGTTGATATTTTTTAATTTTAAAAAGTAAAACAAAGTCACATAGTCTTCTAGATTATACAAAAGTCACCAAAGACAGTTATTATGTAATAAATGTAGGATGAATTTTTATAATTTTATAAAATTTACAAAAAAGCAATATATTAAAAATATGTTTTCAAAACAAAAACATAGTTTTAAAAAATAAGTTAAATTTTAAATTTCATTAGAAATCGTATATATTTATGTTCACAGAGCTCGACCTTCGGCTTGAACTTCAATGAAGCCGCCCTTGAGTCACATGAGGGGTGACGGGTGACTGGTGACTGGATGAGCTGTCTTAGATCTCTTGGGATGAGCCTTGTTGATTGAACAGCGGGCAGCGGGTCATGAAAAACTCAAAAACAGAACATGAAAAATCATATTATTTATAAGAATATTTAGTTGTCCCCAGCCCCAGCCCCAGCCCCAGCCCCAGCCCCAGGCCACAGCCCCCAGTGCTCAGAGCGTTGCGAAGCACCTCTAAAATATATGAATATAGTGGATATGAACGATGCCATTATTTTTAAAAAAGCGACTTTTTAAAACACATTCAAACACTCAATACCTCCTCGTGCGCGACTATGATAGCGAGGAAAGGATCATGTTTGCATTTCATGAGCCCGCTCATGTTAGTAGCGTTAATTGCACTATCTATGTATGCGTCAGATCTCAGCCATAAAAACACTCAACTGCAAAATACATTAAAAAGTATCAGTCATAGTGTCCAACATGATTTAGAAGCACTTGATATACCTGGTGTGTCCAAAGCCTCACTTGGTACGTCCAGGGTGAACGCTGATGGGAAGGTTGAGTCTGGCAGTAATGTTACGGCTGTCGACCCCGCGCTGTATAGGAAAGCCATGGTATACGTAGAGCCACGCCAACAAGAGACGGCCATGCACGTCCTAAGCAACTTCAACGGTAACATGCCGTCTGATTGGGATTTGGTAATTGTGCATTCACCGTCGAACGAGCAATTTATGCGTGATAGAGTCAATAAGTTGCAGCTACATGGACGCATTGTGCAGTTCAAACGCCTTCTGCCTGACGAATTCACCTCCGCAGCTTACAATGGACTGTTTCTCTCAGTCGAATTTTGGGATAATTTCGAACAGGAACACTTATTGGTTTTCCAGAGTGACGCGGTGTTATGTTCCAATTCGCCGTTCCAAGCGGATCACTTCACACAATACGATTACATTGGCTGCGGATACGCAAACAGTCACGGAGAAGCTACTAACTTTCACTGGGCACCTTGGCCGTTTTACGGTGTAGGGGGTCTATCTATGCGATCCAATAGCTTCCAGAAAAGATGTCTTGAAAGCGAAGAATTGCACCATTACAAATCCACAGTGGCAAACGGGGGCGAAGATGTGTTCTTCAGCATGTGCCTACACCACGGGTATGGCCGTAGGCCGGAAAGTGCCAAAACACTGCGACGCTTCTGCAACCAGCAAGTAATGCGAGAACCTAGTTTTGGTGTACATAAATTCTGGTCGCAGATGTACGAGCACGCACCCTCGAATACCAAACCATTAATAAAGCATTGTCCCGAGGCGTTGGTGTTGAGACCAGAGGCACCCCTGGATCCACAGTGGAAAGCTGTGACATCCCCGCATCCACAGTTTAACGTCAAGGCTTGGGAGAAAAGAGCTAGAAAAACAGTCAAGGAATACATACCCCAACACCATTTTGACGAGGAGAAAGAGAGAAGTAGGAACTTGGTGAACTTGGATGATGTACCTGGCCAATAACATGCAGACTGCAGTATAAGAGCCACCATCGGTATAAGCGTGCCTAATGAAACACAGAAGTAGAAATTAAATATGTCAAAACCACAATACACTACAGCTAGACAATTAAATTGTTTATTGGGATATCAAAATATTATGTGCGCGAACTATAGTACACCAATAAGGACTTTATTTACACAAACGAATGTTTAAACAAATACAAACAAATAATATATCGACATGCAGTTGACAAGTTATATTTTTGAGGTGTACATACGTGGAGAAAATTATACATCGTATATATATATATATAGAAAGAGAGAGAGAGAGTAGGTACAATAAAGGTATA